TTGATCACAAATATCTAATTAATTAATCAAAAATTAATTTTCTGTGGTCACAATTTTTTTCTCGATCACAAATAAAAAATTTTATAGGTTACAGATTACTTCTCAAACATGAATCAAAATTCCATAAGTCACATATTATTTATCGGTTACTAATCAAAAATTTTATCTCCACAACTCATTTATTCATTGCAAATCGATCACAATTTATTAAATTATTGGTCACAACTTATTTTTTGGTCACAAATCAAGAATTTTATAGGCCACATGTTATTTCTCTGTCACGAATCGTATATTTTATGAGCCACAAATTATTTATCGATCACAAAATCAAAATTCTTATTGGTCACAACTCAATTACAACTTAATAAACTGTCAGTCACAATCACAATTTTTAGGTCGCATAGGGGTTCGGCTAGAGTTACCTTATGGGCATAATCACATGGAGTGAGGGCCTAGGTTTAGTTGCCACATGGCCGTGCAGGGAGCCTCGTTGGCAGAGGCATAACATCGACTTTCGTATTCCTTACCGTACTTGCACGAAGTTACAATGTGTGACTAGTCCACAACATTCAAAGCTGGTATTATATACTTGAAGAATACCCAAACAAACTTGGTGACAGGCTCTTGCGACCATCAATGGTGAAGGTGTCAGCCAATCCTGGACCTACGAAACCCGAATGAACAAGAGGTAATTAAAGAAAGAAAGCAGTGGTCTGGAGCGTAGCACTGAAGACTAATCAGTTGCACTAAAGATTAGTCGCCCTTTTCATTCAAAATTTTTTTATTTTTATTGGGAGCTGTTGATTTTGTAGAACTAGATGTAACATGCCATGAGATATTGTTATATACGAAAATTTCGAGGATTTTGGATGCAGACTGGGCCAGGGTCCACTAGTGATCGAAGATCCACCTATAGATGAGTTGTTTAAGTATTTGGTTATACTTAGTTTGAATCTTTTTATCGAAGGATCATATAAATAAGTAATTAATTTTATTTCCTTTCAGTGCGACTAATAATTTTTAACTCTAGCATAAATTTTGGGACAATGCCTGTATTGTAGGGTCGAAAATTAAAATGCATTTTTTTTAACCAGCACAACATTAACGAAAATAAGTCAATATACTGTTACAATTATAGCCCACACGTATAATTATATCTAAACTCAGCAGATGTCATATTTCCAAATCTGAGAATAAAGTGTCACAAGAGCGTTGCATCCAAAAAGTTCAAACGAAAATTCCCACTTGATTATTAGACATTGCAATTGTTCTCCAAGCACAAACAGCTCTATTTTGGTGCAGGCACCGGAAGAGACGTATGGAGTAGGGAATACGCCTGATATATATCTCTCTGGATAAGTTTACCATGAATTTGCCGCATAAAGTGAAAATCATGTCTACCACCACAGCACGCCTGCAAGACACTAGCGACGGCGCTCTCATTTGACGTAACACTTTTGTTAAACGTTAAACATTCAAATCCAAAAATTAATTCTATGATTTACGATATCATTGTTGAAGAAGCATCATTGTTTGGAGTAGTTGAACAAGGGTGAACGAATATAAATGACAATGAATTTTTAAAATAAAGAAAAAAGCACAACAAAAAATTTTGGGTCCCGTAAAGAGCTGGGCCTGAGGCGACAACTGTAAGTGTTATGCCCTAGGTCCAATCAACTTTGGACATAAACACTTTGAATATATATATAATCAATGCATATGTATGGCAATATCTATTATTTAATTGAATTAATATTCTAATAAATTAAATAATAGAATCCGTAGATTCAAGTCTTGGTGATTTGTTAATCACAAGGAGTTGTGATTGTGAGATACAAATTACATATGACTGAATCTTAAATCGTCCGTGGTCGAGGTAATAACGAGATACGGATATCGTT